GACGGGGTTTCACCATGTTGACCAGGATGGTCTCGATCTCTTGACCTTGTGATCCACCCGCCTCGGCCTCCCAAAGTGCTGGGATTACAGGCTTGAGCCACCGCACCCGGCCACCTTTTATTTCTTATATGTTAATGAGAACAAATAATTATATGATTTTTAATTAGATGTAAAGGTTGGCATATTAGCTGTAAATTTCATTCCAGGAGCATAAAGGGAGCAAGAGCAAGCATTATGAAAAGGCAGCTTTGGGTCCGAGGGGTAGAGAACCATGGCCTATCATTGCCTGGTGGAAAGCGGTGGAGAGCGTGGGCTCTGAGGTCTGGCCTGAGCCCCACCACCTGCAGCCATGTGATTCCACAGGCACTGCTTCACCTCGATTCTCTCTTGGCAAATGGGGGCCATGCTACAAACTGCACAGGATCACTAGGAAGACGGAAGGCTCAGAGCATGCACAGCATTTGGCAGAGTGCCAGGTGCTGGAAATTGTCCCTGTTATTGTTCTCTTGGTGTTGCTGTTGTTTTGTTTGTTTTGAGACAGGGTCTTGCTCCGTCATCCAGGCTGGAGTACAGTGGCGTGATCACGGCTCACTGTAGCCTCCATCTCCTGGGCTCAAGCGATCCTCCTACCTTAGCCTCCTGAGTAGCAGGAGCATAGGTGCGTGCCACTGTGCCCAGCTAATTTTTGTAGTTTTCTGTAGAAATAGCGTTTCACCATGTTGCCTGGGCTGGTCTTAAACTCCTGGACTTAAGTGATCTGCCCACCTCGTCCTCCCAAAGTGCTGGGATTACAGGTATGAGCCACCACACCGGGCCTATTGTTCATTTAGCAAATTACTGCCAGTACCCTCTTTCCAGCAGCTTTCCTGGGTCCTGGGGGTGTGGGGACACTCAAAGGACTCAGGAGACCCCTGGTGAGTCCCCATCCTCCCTCCATCCAAGACCTATCCCATGGTGGGGTGAGACCCACGTCAACAGCAGAATAGCCAGGGCCAGCCTTCAGTTTGACCACTGGGGCCAGGAGCAGAGCCGTGCTTGGGTTTGCACCAGGCCCGGAAGATGCTGGCACTCTCAAGTGCCCTCCCATCGGCTCTGGCTCTCTCAGCCCCCCGACCTTCCATCAAGGCCTGTCCTTCCTGTGCTTCCCCTTAGGAGCACTCTCCGTGCTTTCCAAGGTGACACATCTCTAGTCTCACAGGCAGTTAGGAGGGCAGAGAAGCAGTCAACAAGCAGGCAGGTGAGCAGACAGCAGGTAAGTCCTGGGCAGACAGGCAGCGAGGAGGTAGGGAGGAGATGGGCAGGTGGATAGTTGGGATGAGAGCCAGTCTAGCAGGTGACAGACCTACAGAGAGATTCAAAGCAGGTGGCTACACAGACCTATGGACAGGCTGGTGGGCTGGGAGCAGCAAGCAGTCAAGCAGCTCGGCAGGGGGCGGGAAGGGCACGTGGACCATGGGGACTGCCACACTGGCCAAAGGTTTCCGGCACCTTCCCCAAGGCCCCCAAGAGAATGGCTTCTCTAAACCCCCAGGGCAAGGCTGCCGCTTCTCTCACCCGGCCTGGCTTGGCCACAGGGGCCTGGCTTGGCCACAGGGGCCTGGCTTGCTCCTGGAGAAGACAACACTCTGGTTAACAGGCGTCCCTCTCCCTGTAGGCACCAGTAACCATCTCAACCCTCATCCTGCTTCACTAGGGCTGAGT